TTGTCTATTTCTGTTCTAGTCACCCGTAGGTGTTTCTCTTCATGTTGTCCCTCATGAATCTTAGGCTTTTCTTTAGATTTTTTCATTATTTTTTTTCTCATTGTTTTTCTAGTTTAGTAGTATTAAGAGATTTAGTTTCAAGCCCACTAATTCTGGCTTCCATTGATTTCAAGATACTACCTTGTCCTTCCAATGTATTGTCAATTTCTGATATCTTAGTACTAATCTTCTGAATTTCTGTTGGCAGGTTTTGCATTGTCTCCAATGCTTTATATTATTTGTTTGTTCTGCAGTGCTTCTGAATTCTTCCTTATTTTCATCACCTTTCTGTCAATTATTTGGAGTTAACCTAAATATCATTCTCTTGAGTTATTTTTTCTGGTAGTTCTGGTGCCTCTTTTTCATCAAAAACATTTTCTAGGTCTGTCTATTTGTTGTTGATTTGAGTTACTCTTTCTTGTTTCTTCATGTGAACAGAAATTGTCTGCTGATTTCCAGGCATTGCGATGTTTCTGTATTTGTATTAAGTTGATGAGTGTGTGTTGGTGCATTCTTAGGCATTCATCAGCTGCCTCCTAGCAGGTGTGTTCAGATTAGCTTGTGCACCGTTCTCTGCAGTTCGTGCAGTTCAGTTTAGGGTGGATTTAGGAGACATTGGTTGTTGTGTTGATCCAGTGCCTAGCAGTTTGTATTGACTGTAGCCCAATTGATTGGGTTGTAGAGGGAGTGGCTATGGCTGGGCTGTATGTCTGAAGTTGCTGTCTCCTGGTGAGAGCTAGTCCAGAGTTCTAGGGTTATCCTCTGCTTCTGTTTCATTGGGTTTTCCATATCCTTGCTGCAGAGGGTCCCACAGCCTTTCTGCCTCATCCACCATCTTGCCCTGCCTCCTCTGGGAAACATGTTAGAAACCAAACTAGAAAATCCTACTTTGGTCCAACACTTGTTGCCACTATGGCTGGCATTGTGTTCATTGTGATCTTTGCAGAAAAATGAGAGCTGACCATAAATCTGATTTGGGTGCTTTAGACAGAGGGACTACAGAAAGAACAGCTGATGGAAGATTTGTTTCAGTCGATAATTAGATAGATCTTTATTTTATTTTTGGGAACTTTAGGTGTACTGAGTGTAATTAATGTGAAATACAGAAGAGTGGGTACAGCTTTGGCACTGTGACAAGGAAGAGATGTCACAATGGAATTATTCACAATTTAGGGAACCCTAGAAGATGTATTGGTTCTTAAAGGTATTGAGAGACAGACTGCACACACATTTAGATGGTATCTGGTATGTTCATTCACCCAGTTCCTCATCCAGAACGTTAGTTCTCGTTTTTTGTTTTGTTTTGTGTGTTTTTTTTTTTAGAAAGCTAGTTAACCTCTTAATTTTATAGAAAAGGCTCAAAACCCAAAGAAGGTAAATAAATTTGAGAAAAAGTATTCAACTGTTTTGTAGGGTGATTTAATGGGAGGCTACTTAACTTTCTAAAAACAAAACATGACTCCTTGCATACAACAAAGCCCTTTACTAGCTAATAAAAGTGCCCCACTTGATTCACCAGTCTGTCATTTTTTATGATGGCGCTTCAAAAAGTTAGTGGGGAAATTCCCATTAACTTTTCCATTCCATTTTCCTATAAACTTTTTGAAGCCCCTTTGTATGGAGTTGTTTACTCAAAAGCAGGAAAATTAATGAGAAAACCATTTGTCCCAAGAAAACGTTTGAGAAATCTATTTATTGGTGATGCTATAAGGAGCTCTGGTAGCGTAGTGGTTACGAATCGGGCTGCGAACCTTAAGGTCAGCGGTTCGAAACTACCAGCTGCTCCGCGGGAGAAAGATGAGGCTTTCTACTCCCGTAAAGATTTACACCCTCGGAAACCCTATACAGGGTCGCTATGGGTCGGAACCGACTCGATGGCACATAACAACATACAAACCCCAAGCTTGGGAGTTGGTCCACGCTTCCTCCCAGAGCCAGCAGGGGGAGGTACAAGCAAGGTTTGTAAACCGCTCCTCCTCCGTGTCCCCTCCCCTTTCTCGCCCAACTTTCCCATAGCCACCGTTTCAACTAAAGTGGCCATTGACCTTTCAAGCTTTTGAGCAATGATGCAATAGAATAGTATTTCAAAGAAAAATAGTCATCGAAATTTTGGAACTGGTTTTCCCGTGAGTGTTAATGCTTTTTTCTAAAAGGTCAGATTTAAAGTAGGTCACATTGCGGGGACGGCCACGCAGGCAAAAAGATGAGTTTCCAACTAAGGTCAGGCGGCCTCCAACAGGGTGGTAGATGGGGGTGAGAGTCCCCGGCAAAGAAGAGGTGCCGAGATCCTTCTGAATTCACGGTTCTGAGGTGCTCGTCTTGCGGGGAACTGCAGAGACTAGCCCTTTCCAGACCGATTGCAGGTACCGAGGTCTGCCGCCCAGTACCTCTCAGGCACGCAGGAATCGGCGGCCATGCAGGTGAGCCTGGCAAGCCGGTAACCTGCCAGAAAGAGGCGGTGGAGCAGAGCGGAGGGGAGCTGAGGACGGAGGGAGGAGCCAGGCAAGGCTGGCGCTGGAGAGTGCTGGCGGGAGCGCCAAGGGGAGGGGACTGAGAGCGGCCGCTAGTCTTAAGGAGGCGCTGCTTTCTGCTTGCACGTTGCCTTCTAGGACCCTGACCAAGGGGACTGCCTCTGTCCCGCTCCCAATATTCCCCAGGCGTGGTCTTGTAGAGTTGAGCTGGGTTCCCCACCACATCAATGTGTCTTAGAGCAGAAGGGGCTCGTTTCCGAGAATCCCCCAGTATCTCCGTAAACGCCCCCCCTCACACACATAATGTGCGGCCTGGAGGGTCGCATCAAGAAGGCATGGAAGGGATGGGAAGACAAAACCCCCTATGGCTAGCCGAGGGCAAAGAGGACGAAGGAAGGAATGGGAAGACAAAAACCCCTATGGCTAGCCGAGGGCAAAGAGGACGAAGGATCCCTGCATGTAGCTGGCATGGGCGGGGCGCAGACTGTGGCTGCCAAAACGGAGGCAGCAGCTGTGGTGAGGGGCTTCAAATGTTTGTCCCTGAGCATCCCGGGGAGTGGGGTCAAAACAGGACGGATCATTCGGAGCCTTGAGTGCCCTTCCCCGAAACCAAGTGATGTGAGCCCTTCTCCCCCAAGCCTGCGCATTAGCGTCGGAGCCTCTTTAAAGCAGTAGCCAGGACTGCGGTCACGTGAGGCGGATTCCTGGAAAGTTCCTGGAAAGCGGCCTCCACTGCAGCGGGGTAGGGCGGGCGCGGGTGCGAAGGGGGAGAGGGAGGCGGGGAGCTAGGGAGGCGCGTTGAGATGGGAAGTCGCGCGCGCACACACCACTTAGAGAACCAACGTTTAACTCTTGCCAAGTCTTCGCGTCGCCGCAGCTCGCGGGCCTTTGGCTGCTCCAGAAGTATGAACCTCCTTGCCCACAGCTACCGGCGCTGTGCAGGTAGCGCATGTTGCGCACCGAGGCCCCAGAAGCCTAGCCTCTGGATCTTCTGCGACCGCAGCCTGGACAGCCGAGAAGGACGGGCAGGGGCTGGCGGCAGGTACCAGTGGGGGGAGTCCTGAAAGCTCCGCCCCAAGGAGGGTCGCTAGGGAGGGCACCCGGGTGCGGCTGCGTGCGCTGGGAGCGGCGGGCGGCCTAGGCTTCCGCAGTTTAGAGCCTCCTGGGGAGAGAGTCCGAGACGTGGACCTGCCCTTCGGCCAGACGCTTCTGCTTGCTTTCTCTGGTTCCTTCCGGGCGTCGGAAAGTCTCCGGAGTTGTTTTTTTTTCTTTCGCCTAAACTGCCATCCAAATTAATAATCCTCATAACCTGATCTCCTGCTCCTCCCCACCCGCTTGCCTCCCGCCCTTGTTTCTTCCTCCCTCCCTCTTTGCTTCCCACCTCCTTGGTCATAGTCAGAGGGAACCCTCACAGCTATCCAGGCTGTGCGCTAGAGGGTGTCCGAGCCAGGAGTGGGTATTGGACCTTGGGGTCGAGGTGATGATCTCTGGGGCTTTTGCCTGCCTTTTGCTCAGAGAACTCCTACGGCCACCACCGTCGCAGAGCGCAAGACGCGTCGCATCCCCGGACATCGTGTTCCCAAATTAAACGTCAACAGGGGAAACTCAGGCAGACACCCCTCCTCTCTCCGGCCCCTCCCGGTTCCTCCGCCCCATGTCAGCTGGGGAGGCTGCCTGGTGCGGAGGCGAAGGCGGTGGAGGCTGAGGTAAGGGCTCTGCGTTTGTCTTCTACATGTCCTGTCGCGTTCGCTGCCACCGGCTCGGCTCCCTCGGCTCCGGCCCGGAGTTCCCTCTCGGGCCGATTCCTCGACAGCGCCCGCGGCGGCGACAGCAGCAGCTGGCCCGTCTTGGGAGCTTGCTGCAGCGGCTCCCGGCGGCAGCCCCCACCTTTGCCCCATCCAAGCACGGGGGCAACGAGGGAGGGGAGCGGAGCAGCTCTGGGGCGAGTCACGCACCTTCGCACCCCAGGCTGGCGGTTGGCGCCCGGGGAGTGTGCGGCGCTTTAGTGGCAGTAGGGTGGGGTTGGGGGGGGTGCACTATTTGTTCCTGTTGACTTCTAGGGGCCAGCGGACTGCGCGGGGCGTGGGATGGAGGTGCCAATTTGGGGATCTCTCCTATTCTTTGATTTTTCCCCCCTACTTGCTCTTGACCAGAGCCTGTTTCCACCAGATCTACTACAGGTGACTCTTTTGCTCTTCCTAGGCTGTGATTTCAGAGAGCAGCCTCAGGCAGGAAGATACCCCATTCCCCACCCTCATCACCCCTCCCCCCTCCCTTCACCAATTGTGAGCCTTGTCTCGGTGCTCTGTGTATCTCCCTTTCTCCAGAGCTGGGCCGGGGCGGTAACTAGATGCTTGGTAGTAAATGGTTCAGGGGCAGAGAGGCAGAGGAGTCCCAGAGATCTTCCATGCTTCTGTGTCCCCTACCCTCCAAGCCTCAGCCACAGGGGTCCAGTTTGGACTGACCCAACCCCCCACTTTCTATTTACAGGAGAACTGTGGGTGACTACGCCTGCTGGGGACTTTGCTATCCATCTGCTCAAAACTGGGGAAGAAGAACCGGCAACTCCCCATCCCCTCCCCTTCTACCATTTTGGAAACCCAGCAGGAACTGCTTTTGGGGTTCCCACTGACTTCAAGAAAGAACGGGTGTCCTTCTCTGATCCCAACTCAGGCTGAAACCTGTCTTTGCCACGGTGATCCTTCCCCCATGACCCTGCGGTGCCTCGAGCCCTCCGGGAATGGCGCGGAAAGGACGCGGAGCCAGTGGGGTACCGCTGGGTCGGGCGAGGAGCCTTCTCCCGAGGCGGCGCGTCTGGCGAAGGCCCTACGGGAGCTCAGTCAAACAGGTAGGGAAGGGACTGGGCGGCCGCGCCGAGTGGCGGGTGTAGGTAGTAGGAGGTGCCTCCCCAAAGACAGGACTGGGAGCTGCTCTGGAGAGGAATGCATTTGAATGTGGGGTCGAGGTGGAAAGCAAAGAATGGACTCGGCAACCATCCCCTTGTTTCCTGTCCCCATTCCTGAGCAAGGAGCCCCAAAGAGGGTGCCCGCACGGCCCTGGATCCTTGGGAAAGCGAAAAGAAAGTGGTTCTCGTGGGACTCAAGCTTGGGGGAGGGCAAAGCGCGAGAAAGGCTCATTGAAAATAGACTCCTTGGGCGCAGTACCTTTATAATTTTTCCACTGCTGCTCAGGGCTCGGCACTTGGATTCGAACCTTGGCCGAAAAAGAGCCCAGTGGGATGCCAGAGCGGCACTCGCAGCAGCTCTAGCCGCATCCGGCGCCCTAGCGGAGCCGCAGCTGCAGCCCGGGATCTTTGCGGCCAAGTCCCGGGCCAGGCAGACTGCTGCGCGGTGGCGAGTCGGAGGAGCCGGGGCAGCGAAGGCTCAGCCAAGCACGGCCTCCAGGGACCTTTGGGTAGCCCAAGATATTGATTGTTTGGAGTGCAGTACTGCGTTTTGCACAGCTCACTGTTGCCTCTTGGCATCTGAGAAAAAGAAGACAGCAACCAAAATTAGTTTTGTTTTGTTTTAAATTCTAGCAAATAACGCAGGCTTTAAAAATCGGAATCCTGAAAGCTTGTGTTTGGGGCAAAGTTGAAGTTTTGGTAGCACTATGGAGAGGAAGAAGCCCCCTCATTTGCGATTTCTGTCTTTGCTTGCTTTCCCTTGCAGATTGCAGGGCTTGGAGAAGTTTCTTGGAGGTGGAAGGACACATTGTTTAAACTTCTTAAATACAGAATGACTGACTGAGTCAGTTGTGCCAACAGAATAGGCCGGGAAAATGGGGGAGGCAGATCAAATCTAGAATGCTGGGGTGACCCATGGTGATTGGATTTAAGTTAAAGTCAAGTCCAAAGGAGTTTAATTCTGATTGTAAACGATCAATTGGCTTCCCTGTTTCTCAGTAACTGAGAGAGAGAGGCAGTTGTAATCAAGAGCAGCAAATGGGTTATTGTACTAGAAGTCTACTTTTAAGTAAATAGCATTGTTTTCCAGGTGCTTTGAACAAATGACAGATTTTTGGGGTGATGAGTTGAGTACCACAAACCATCTTAAAGATTGGCTTCTGCTTTTACTGGAACTGCTGAAATTGGGGTTTCCTTTTTTTTTTTTTAAGGGCATGTTGTTTATTTCTAGCTGCTGCCTCACTTAAAATCTATGATTTCATTTAGTGTGGCACATTGCACATGCTCTTTTGTTTCGTTAGGAGAAACTTATGACAGAGCTCAAAGAACAGGTACAGAAAGTTCTTTTCTTGAAAAAGAAAACTGGTTAATTTGTGTTCCCAAAATAAAATGGATTCAAAAGGGCATTAAATTCTTACCAAAAGTACAATGGGGCTTCCAGGTTTGTGGAAAATAGAATGAAAAGACAGGGGACTTTTTTCTTTGAACTTTTTGAAGTCCTTTCATATTTATGGCAGCCTCTGGTAAGCTTATACTCACAGTTTTTTTGTTAGAAAACGTATTGCCAAATATTTTCCCTATCCTAAAGATTCTTATAATAATATTTTACCCTCTTTTTTTTTTTTCCCTCTTTGAACAAAACCCCAGGATGGTACTGGGGAAGTATGACTGTTAATGAAGCCAAAGAGAAATTAAAAGAGGCACCAGAAGGAACTTTCTTGATTAGAGATAGTTCGCATTCAGACTACCTACTAACAATATCTGTTAAAACATCAGCTGGACCAACTAATCTGCGAATTGAATACCAAGATGGGAAATTCAGATTGGACTCAATCATATGTGTCAAATCCAAGCTTAAACAGTTTGACAGTGTGGTTCATTTAATTGACTACTATGTTCAGATGTGCAAGGATAAGGGGACTGGCCCGGAAGCCCCCCGGAATGGCACTGTTCACCTTTATCTGACCAAACCACTCTACACGTCAGCTCCATCTCTGCAGCATCTGTGTAGGCTCACCATTAACAAACGTACCGCTACCATCTGGGGACTGCCTTTACCAACAAGACTAAAAGATTACTTGGAAGAATATAAATTCCAGGTATAAGCGTTTCTCTTTTTCTAAACATGCCTCATCTAGAGAATCTCCGAAAGCAGCTATGTGAAAGAGAACCAAAACTTGAGTGACTGCTCTGGATAATGATGTGGAATTCTTTCTAAGAACAGTTGAAGTCAATATAATTTAAGTGTGTGAAGAGGTAGCTAAGTATTTAAAGTACCCCCATATGTTTTTACTACCTGAGTGATGGTTCCTTTCCTGAGGCTGACCAAGACCAACTGATCCTTTGAAATTAAAAAAAAAAAAAAAAAAAAATGTTCCAAGTAAAGACTGTAGGAGCATTTTATCTGAACATCTTGCCTTTATGTGGTTCCTTTCCACTAGGTCTAAGGTCCTAGTGTGAGCTCCCCATTGAAGTACTGTAGAAGTGGATGAAACCAAGCTGACACAGGTTTAATTTCAGTCTCATTTGCCTGGTGATCAGAATCATTTTATAGTTTGCATTCTGATGTACCTAGGAGTTTTGCTAAACAGATGATGTTTGTGAGTTTTTATCCTTCATTTTATGCAATTAACCAAATCAACCAAAAAAGAGAGAGAGAGAAAAGAAATAGAAAGTGACCGTGAAATCCTGTATTTGTCTGTGTGCTACATGTATGAACTCTCTCATGTGAATGAGTACTGTAGTAATCCATGTAAAGGGAGCCTTATTTCAGACATATTTCAAACTGGTGCAATTGGAAAAGATGTCCTCTTTTCCTATAAGGCTAAAGACAAGAATGTCACCCTATACAGGTGCAACTCAATTTCTGTTAATAACACCCAGGTAATATAGACGTTTTACCCTGTTGAAGTAGCTGTGTTCCAACCTGTTGCCATTGATTGTTTTGGAAATGGCTTTAGAAATTTCCAAGTTTTCCTTGAATTGTCTAACCATGGACATCAACAGTTATCTCCCTTCTACCATGTAGAATACTTTGACTTAATTTTCTTCCAGATACAGGGGGGCTGGCTACCTGCCTATTTTTCAAAGTGTTTATTTACTGCTGTTACTATTTGATTAGAATGTATTAAATAATAAACAAACAAACAAACAAAAAAACCCTGTCTTTTACAAGTTGCACTTATTACTTTGAATTATACACTTTCCTGGCAATAAAGTTTTCATGCCATAAAGACTTCTTTGAAATAAGTCAGATATTCAGCAAGTGGTAAAATGTTACTTGCCTATCTCTAAAGTTATACCTATACTTTCCACTTCTGAAAACATGGTAGAAACTGTAAGAATTGCCAACAGACAGCATGGCTTAATCTTTTACAAGTTTACCACAAAATAAAAGTTTTACAGTCATTTCTGTTTTTCTACACTGGCTCATGACTGTTGCAAATATAGCATCTCTTCTGGAGCCTAGATTTTACTCATTTTGCTTTCTTTTATTTCCTGCATAGCTATGTGCAGAAGGTGAACCTGGTATATCATGTCTGTGCCCTGATGGAAACAGAAAATTCTGATAAAATGTAGTGAAACCTGCTCATTGCATATTTTACCTTGTTTTGAAGAAATTCTTGAAAAATTATTTTGTGCCTAGAAAGAAAGTTAATTATGTGTGTCCAGACAACACAGGGAAACACAAGAGATTGTTTGGTGCACCTGAGGAAGTTTATTTGTCACCTAATAGCCTGGTAGAATAAGCACTCCACCTCAAGGTCGGTTTGAACTGCAAGGTCGGTGGTTTAAACTCACCAGCTGCTCGGAAACCCTATACAGGGTTGCTATGAGTTGGAACCGACTCGACAGTGCTTAACAACAACATTTATATAAAAGCTAGAATTTTAAGTCTGATCTATGATGAGAAGAGGTGTACCGTTGAAGGATAAACATTGGACCGTTAACCGCAAAGTCAGCGGTTCAAAACCACTAGCTAGCTGGTCCTTGGAAACCCTATACAGGGTTGCTATGAATTCAAACTGATTAGACAGCATTCAACAACAATGGTGAGAAGATAGCATTTTCATTGAGTTGCTTGAATTTTATGCTTTTACCCTGTTTCTCCCCTAACAACAGTTGTCTAGTATGGGATGTCTGTCTAACTTTTCTGGCAAAGCATCCACGTGAACACTGCCAAAGGGCTTTGTGGGATTACTTTAACTTCTTTAGGGAAGACCTTAATTTCTGTTGTCATTGTTTCAAAGCTTTGATTTCTCAATTATTGAGGGTGGGAGGCACAATTGTCATTGTGTGCTGTTGAGTTGGTTTCTGACCCATAGCGACCCTGTGTAGGCTTTCTGAGGAGCAGCTGGTGAGCTTGAACCAACAACCTTTCAGTTCTAGCCAACCTTGAGGCTGAGTGTGCATAGGAGGCATCAGTGGGGGATTATACCCTCTGGATTGCGAAGCATGCTTCATTATTGCTTTGTTGTTAATTATAGATGCCCTGGAGTCAATTCCAACTCATGGTGATCCCGTGTGTGTAGAATAGAACTCTTCCAAAGCTGGGACTTTTCAGAAGCAGGCTGATCTTTCTGAATGTCTCTGGGTGGGTTTCAGTTGCCAGCCTTTTGGCTAGTCTTCAAGCGCTACACTGTTCTCTCCTGGGACTCCTTATTTTATTACTAGCTAGCAAATGACCAAGAAAGCTAGAGGAGAGCAAAGACATCTCTGGAGTGTGCTGTGGAATGATGGTGGCCTTTTCAATCTTCCCTATGCCAATGACGTCAATAAACATCAGGAGACAGCCACGCACACACACACACACATATGCAGTTGCCACTACTATCATTTACTGATTGAGTTTATTATATGTATCCATGTACACCCAGTTCCTACCATCATTTATTTATTGAGTTTATTGTGTGTGCCAGGTTCTTGCTCATTTAATTTTCCCAACAAGCAAATGCACACAGTATCCTGATGATTGGAGTTATGCCTTTTGGATTTGTGAATGTAGCAGCACTCCAGGAATATTCTCACTGATCTTATCCCTAGAGAGAAATTATAAAAGGTAAATTCCTGTTGAGTATTTCTACATTGATCCCGAGGAACTGGTTAGAATAAATTATAAAGGCAACCTTCAGCCTTTTCCACTGATACCTCATTTGGAAAAAGGATCGATAACCTTCATTAACTTAATAGCTTTGTGCTTTACAGGATTCAGGTCAGCTTGGCTCAGTGGTTCTCTCCTGAATTCTGAATGAATGGTGGTGATGGTGGTTATGTGCCATGGAGTCAGTTCTGACCCATAACGACTCTATAGGGATTCTGAGGCTGGAAAATTTAGAATATGCAAAATAATACTTAATTTAGAACATTGTTGTAGGTTCTGACTCACAGTGACCCTGTACAGGGTTTCCGAGGCTAGGATTCCTTACGGGGAGCAGAATGCCTCATCTTTCTCCCATGGAACAGCTGATAGTTTTGAACTGCTGACCTTGAGGTTAGCAGCCTGACTTGTAACCACTAGGCTTTCAGAGCTCCTTTCCTGAATGAGTAACTTACCCAAACTGGGCACGGGTGGGGAGGGTGGTTAACTTTCACCTGATAGTTGGTTAATGATGCCAATTCCCAATTATTGGTAGCCCCATGTTATACAAAAGATAACGTATCCTCAACAGAGCCAGGACAAGTACTCAAATTCTCTCTGAGCTGGGCAGTTTGGGGTATTAGTAAGGGTTTTTATGATTGTTACTGTTGAAGAAGATATCTACAGAATATATATATTCTTAAGGACTTCAAATATTTTCATCTGGGTCTTTGTCTTGAGCACAGATGAAGTATATACGGGAATGAGCTGTATTTTCATGCTGTTCAAATGAAATGCTCTTGGGGGAGGAGCAGTTTAAAGGGACTCCCAGATGGCCCTTATACCTTTGTGACCCAGGAAAGAACAAAGGATCCTGGTTTTTTGTTGTTGTTTCTTTTAATTGAAAAAAAGTTGTTTTTTTTTTTTAAATTACTGTCACAGTGGGCCCTGGTGTCTGCTTTTTAGGGACTTTTGGGAGTCAGCAGGGCTTTGGACAGTTTAGCATTATGAGTTGCAAGTTCTCTGTTGGTATGTCAGGAAGACAGTCTTGACTTCATAGTAATTATGTAATCCAAATAGGTAACAGAATGGGACGTTTGTTTGGGAGTGTTTATTTTCTTGGGAAGGATTTCTCTGCTTTTAGAAAATTGTACCCTGGTAGGAGGACAGGAGACGGAGACGTCATCAAATAATCCAAGGGATGGAATGTCCTGAGACGCAGGCCGTGGCCTTCTGGGCTGTGGGTTTAGGCAGGACAGAAGGGGGCTGCTGGGAAAAGTTATTAGTAAGGAAATCTACTCCTTATGGGGCGGTGCAGCCATTGTTCCATGCTGACAGTTGGGGAGAGGCCTCTCTGACTCGACTGGTCCTTCCTACCATTTGGAGCAAAAAAGTGCTGTCATTCATCTGAAGCCTTTTGTTTATTTAGTGATCTGTATTTTTTGCAAATTTTTAATTTCCTAGGATTTTTAAAGCTTGAAAACACTTTCCAGATTGCATATTTTAGATCCTTCCTTTTACTGAAGAATTTTAGGTCTGAAGAGGTTAGAAAAGTTTGGGGGGGGGCCGGACTAGTATCACTCAGTAAATTAGTGGCATTATTTGAACGCAGATATTTTGATCTCAGGTTTAGCATTTACAAAAGCTGTACCCTTCAACCCTCTGTTTAAATGTCAAGAATTTTCTTTCCTACCTGAAGCTCAAGAGCTCTGGTAGCATAGTGGTTATGAGTCGGACTGCTAATCTCAACGTCAGCATGTTCAAAACTACCAGCCGTTTCGCAGGAGGAAGATAAGATTTTCTGCTCCCATAAAGATTTACAGCCTCAGAAATCCTATGCAGGATCACTCAGCTCCACTGCACACCACTACCACCACCAAGCCCCGTAATTATTTTAACATCACATTTTTCTTCCTCTCACCTTTCCATGTGGGAAGCAAAAATCATTGGAATACCATGTGGGCTAGAACATTCTAGTTCTTGGATTCTTTTATCCCACTCCCAAGATACAGTTCCTGCTGGGTTTCACGATGTCTTGATCCACATTATAGCTTTGTGTTAATGTTAACTCCTCAACGTTTCTAATTTATTTACTGTTTTCGAATCCAAAACCTCCCATGCATGCTGTTTTATGATCTCATGTCTGCTGCTGCCAGCTCTGACTCACACAAGCCTTCGAGCCTGTGGAACTGCCCTTCCTCTTGTCCTCAATAGCATAACCCATTCTTTCTTTCGCCTGGTCAGGGATATAATGGCATTGCTAGTTCCTTCCTTATTTTCTCCC